CAAGAGCAATACAGACACTAATTATTCTGTAAAAGTAATTTTTATCCACAGAGAAATACCATAATGAATGCAAGACAAGAAACGGAAATCAGTGTACTATGGAGAGAACTGGAATCATGGAAAATAAGCAGCATGGGGAATTGCACAAGTAAGTCTCGTCAATCAAAAGCAACCAGCTTTATCATACAGCTTTGAAAAGATGAAGGGTAAACCAACAGATGTACTATCTGACTAATAGTAAAATATTTGATAAAAATCTCTCTCAAGACTGTTACTCTCCAAAATTAACTCAAGTTGGCTGGGACAGGAACACTATGATGTGACCTGAAACCCAAATGACTAGTCATAGTAAAAGAGTGAAAAGCCTAAAGCAGAAAATAAAAATAAATAAATAGATAAAAAGATGAGCTTTTCAAAGGCTGGGAAACCCTCCAACTGCCACACTGAAGAGTGCTGTATCAATTTAGACTGATGTTCTCAGAAGTTAAGTGATAAACAGCAATGGACTGCAAGTCTCGATTAGTGCAAAGACTGAAATTAGTTCTAATGCTATTCAGAAACAGAGGCAGGACTGAATATGTTCATGAGATCCACACATGGCACTTGCACGTGGTAACAAACTTTGCAGATTAAGTTGCAATTGCCAGTTGGTACAAAACAGTAATAAAATGACCTAAAGTGATTAAAAACTGTTTTTTTTTAAACAGCAAAACAAAGATTCAGTGGGTAGGGGGAAGGGACAAATGGCAGGAAGAGATCAAACTGATAGACATGGAAAAAGAAAACGCTAAACATATTGCATTCTAGAGAAAAAATAACAAGAAAAGATACCAGCGATGATATGGCAGATCAGAGGTAAAACCAAAGACCCTTCTAGAGTATACTATCTGAATATACAGCTCCAGAGCACGCTGTGGAGAAGAGGACCTGTATGCACCACATCAATAAAACTCATCTAGAAAATGTCCTTCATTCCTGCAAAATCTACATTAAGAAGAGCAATTAAGGTGATTTAGAGTTTGTTCCCTACAGCACCCACATACACTCCACTACCTTTCCAGAGTTGTCTCCAACTTCAGCCTGCATAGAACAGGCTTACTACAGACCTTGCTTTCTTGTAGCCAAACCTAGGGCTAATTAATGCACCAGTCTCAGCCACCTGAGGTGCTACCTGATAGAGTCAGGTAAATATACCATGCTGTACACAATTTAATACTCACAATTATTCAAAATACAAATACCACAAAATTTCACCAATCCCCATTAAGAAAAAGAGATCAAGAAAGTGATTTCTTAGCTTCTAATTTTTATGGTCACATAAAGCCTCCAAGGAAAAAAAGGTAAAAGCCTAAATAGCCTGAAAAGCTCTGTTTTTACAAAAGGGTTTGGGGGGAAAAAAGCAAACAAACAAAAAAACCAACCACATACTTCTGCACTTTTTTCCAAAGGTGGTAAAACTTCTCAGCTTTGCTGAAGTCAGTCAAATTTAATCACCAAAACCAAAGGTTGATTTTGGTTGTAACCTACTTGGAAAATGATGACAATGTTTAAAAAGCTTCCTTATTAGGTCGCTGAGAAATTATTAACATTTGCAAAGCATTTCACTGTGCTTTATTACAGCTCCAAAGCGCCACACCAAGGTTCAACTTCACAAATACAGATAGCTTCCAATCAAATTCATGGAAAAACGTTACGTATAGTATGGATCCAGTGCTAGATTAATGTTGTTATACTTACCAATGAGCCAGCAGGGCTTCAAAGAAAACACAGGAAATTGCACATAAATATTGCTCTGTCCCATTTAATATGTATTTCTAAAGTTAGAGCATGAAAGCGTTAAATATTTTTGTTTTCCATTAAAAACACTCTTTATGTGGCAAGGCAATTAAGTTTTTTTGGCATCCGCTCCACATAAAGCAGCTGCTGTACAGTATGTTTTACTTTATAAAATATCTTTAATCAGCACACTGACTAGTTCTGTCATTTATAATTAAGGAGGTAAATGGCAGGTGCAGCATTAATTAGTGAAATTGAAGTCTCTGTGCAAGACACACAGTCATACCAACTTAATGCTTCCTAGGAATAGAAACGATTGCTAACAGCTTTGCACCACAAACTTGACTAGGTAAGACCATACCAAGAAAGAGGGGCATTTACAACACAGTTACGCTTCTGAAGCCTTTATAATCTTATATTACCTTTATATCTTATATTATAATCTTATATATCCATTTCTTAAAAGTCCTCCTTCGATAGTAGGAATAGAAAAAACTTCGGGAGGGCAAAAGCCTACCCACTAAGACATCCTGTGAGAGTCTCTGTTTCTGCCTTACAAACAGCGCAAGGGGTAGGGGGCAGAGGCACAGATCAAGAGATAGGCAAAGCAGTTCTCTTAGTTGAAAAGATTTTCCTAGCCAACAACCAAGAAATGGGCTAGCCCAACATTTGGAGAAATGCCCACACTCATAATTTAAAAACAGAGCAACTGTTGCTGCAATCCCTTCCCAACATGAAAGTAGGACCACCAGTCCTACAATTACCCTCATAACAATTCTGCGATTGCCACCTTAAGAGGTTGCGGGTTACATTAAATCTCTCCTCCCTTTTAAAACTGCAGAGGTTATTTTGGCTTGAAGGACTTCTGAAAGGTAGCCTTACAGCTGTTTACAAATCTTTAGAGCGTACACATTCAGCAAGAAGTCCCACAAGATGAGTAAGACTTCCAAAGAAGTGGTAGTCACCCTCGTAGTGCTGGGTCCTTGGCAGACCACAGCCCAGGGTGGGGCATTCATCATCTCCGTGTTCACCTGTTCTGCAGAGTCCCCAGGCACCACCTCAGCATGCAAAACTGTTCATAAAAACAAGTGCAGTTGGTGAGACTAAAATAGTTACAGTGTTCACGGTCTCATTTGTAAACTAATAGTCTGCTCATCTCCAGGCAAATGCTCTCAGATACCTCATTAGTTTTGGCCAAACTAAGACCGCAATTTGAATGAAGCCAAGAAGCCCACTTTTGCATTACTTCAAGGCAAAAAGGTTAACCCTTCTGACTGCCACGTTACCTAAACTATATTTCGAAAACAACTCAAATATGTCTTTCAGAAGTGAAAGCACGACAGTACATGAAACAATACATTCAGTAATACAGTAGTAGTAAAGTAGTAGTAAAGGGCCTTCTGCATTAATTTTAAGAAAATCTATGCATTTCTGCCTAAACTCACATAGCAGTTTCCCACATCTGTCTTAAATAGAAAGGAATATAAACACCAGGCAAAGCAACTGCACCCTGTGCTATGAACTAGAAGACCAGCTCTATACCTCTGTAAAATACCAACCTCGCAAATCTCATACAAGGCATTGAATTGATTTGTGCTTCATTGATGTTAAATGAATGTTTCTTCAGTGGGTAGATAGTGCCTTCCACATGCACAGAAACAAACACTTCCAAGGCAAACTACAGTAGATAAACAGCAGTGGATAGAAGGCAAACTTATTTGTGTTTTTCTTTCGTGCTAATTTTGACTTAAAATTGAGTCTTCTGGGAAGGAACACAATCCCTAGCTGTGTGCAGTACCCCCTGCCAACCAACTTATGAAGCAGAACTGCTACTGACTCACAAATGAGTTATTCATCCATTCTCCTTCCGACAAGCAGAAAAACTAAATGACCATGGCTGACAGAAGAGAAAACGAAGATTCAAACAGAGGGATTCAGGAAGGGTAAGGAGGAGAATTTAGAAAACAAGGATGCTGTGATAAAGACAAATTGTTATACTCTGCAAGAAGACACAACAACAATAAACCACTTTTAACCAGACTTGTAATTCTGTAAATGAACCAATAATGAGCACTGCACAAACAAATCAAAAAGGCCACCATTTATAAACACAATATTTTGTCTGAAAATGCAAAATGAGATGGTGGAATTTCAATAATATTTTTAAGCCTTTTCAGATTAGGCACAATCAGCGTGGGTACGAAACAGCTGATTTGAACTAGCAGAAGAGAACTCAGGGGGAGGAAAAAGGTTTGCCTGCAAATAGGAACAAGCACCACTAGGGAACAGACTTTAGAGAGTACGTGTGGGGGTTAAACAGAACCTACCCTCCCAGACAGGTGCAGCTCTCAGCTGAAATATTTCAGACAGCAGTATTCACATTTTTATGCTATCACAAACAATTTCAATTCCCAGGCAGGTCTAAGACAGTGATATTCATATAAACTCTCCAAGAAGACAGCAGCCATGCCCTACCATATGGTCTGGCAGAGTTCAGCATATGGGATTGGTTGCGATTGTTTTCCTTTTCCCAAAATTAGCATTAAAATATAAGTGATAGCTTCAATTAGAAGTGAAGCAACCTGAGCTCAAAATATTAAATTAGAAGTAATCCAGTGTTCTGAGACAATGTAGACAACAAAAAAATTTACAGTTTGTTAGAGGGTATAAATACAATTAAGACTGAGAGAAGAAATGAACACATAAATAAATCAATTCCTCCACTACTATGGCACTGAGCAATATTTACTACCAACACGGATAGAAAGAGAGATGTTTATGGCATACTCACAGAATAGAATTAAAATCACATTCCCCAGTCTGTCACTTCGTATCAAAAAAAGTATCAAAGAGGCTAAACTACCTTCTGCCATTCAAAAAGCTTCATTAGCTAAGGCAGCTGCAAACTGGTAAAGCAACTTGAAAAAGACTGCTTTACTATTGAACTTTTTCGGTTTTAATACCAGACTTCTACTTTTCTTTATGGTTCAGCTTCCTTTGATGGATAGCATATTCTCTACCAAATGGTGGTGGATCATTTGATATCATGTGATCAATACCAATTGATCACGTTTTGTATCATTGTATGTACATATCACTACAATTCACACTGAATGATTTGGTGGAATCTGATTAAAATGAGATAGCATTCCAGCTCTACAGACAGTTACATTATATAAAAAATACTCAGATACATTGGAACACAGTTAAAAGATACATCTTACTTTCCCATCCAAACCGCGTAGCTTTCAGGGAGTTGTGGAACAAAAAGCATGGATCTTCCAGTATCAACATCTACCGCTCCAAAGCAGCCTGCTTCAGTTACTCCGAAAGTCCAGTGAAAGAAAGATTCCTAGGTTAAGACAAAATATATTCTTAAAAGAAAACCCTCACATCTACCGCTCTAAAAATACACTACAGTACATACTAACTCCTACTTCTGCGTATCTGAAAGAGATCTCTCTTGCTTTTGGAGGGGGGGGAAGTGGTTTAGGTCTAAAGCTTTTCAGACTGATTAGTTTTAGATTACAATAATACAAATCCCTCTGTTGGCAACTGGAAAGGATCAGAGATTAATAAGCTACCATAAGAAATAAACAGGTCAACTCAGCACAATAAACATACACCACACAATAAAATACATTCTTCCAATCTAGAATTAGGGAATGTAGCATTAGGAAGAAACAATATGTCACATGAGACAAGGCAGAAGCAGAGTGCAGATTCATTCATTGGGTTGTGATGGCAGAGTGCTGAAGTGAAGACCCAGCCTCCCGCAGAGAAGAGGAAGCTGCACTAGGAACAGCCTTTAGCGAAGACTTATTTTAAGAACAAGCAATCAAACAACAAACACCTAACAATATAGAGATGAATTTTCGTAAGGACAGACATACGCTCTCATACCCTGAAAGGTGCATCTCTTCTAAAAACAGACCAATAACTACATTAAGATATGCGCTATCTAGATTAGAATTTATTGATTTTATTTCTTCATAACATACAACAGCTCAATTAATTCACCAAAGTACTGTAGCAGCCATGCAAAGTATGGGGTACGCATAATTAGAGTTCTGTTACGCCAACTTCCCCAAAGACTAAGAATGCATTTGGCATGACATTAACAAGTTATTAAGTCCTATTTGTGACAGAAGAATACACGGGTACTTAAGGAAGAGTCTAATTTGACAAGACACATGTTGTAAGTTCTATGATACATCCTGCTTTGTGGAATATACTATTTATAAAAGCTTGAAATATGCTTTTCTATGAATTAATTCCGTTTGGGTCCACTTTAACATGTTTCAATACAGAAAGATTATATAGTTATATTTTTGGGTCACAGACAAGACTGAAAAAACTAGGAAATATTCCATTACTGCCTTTAATACTACATTAAACACTGATAGGCAGTAGGGCCTTGAACAGGTTTAGGCCCTTTAAACCAGATAATGAGCCTGCATACTAAAGCACTGAAAAAGAGAGTAACTCGAAGCTGAAGAGGCAATGTTATAAAGAAGCCAATTTATTTAAGTGAAGCAAGGCAACACGCACGAGAGATAAAGGGAAAATAATTAAAAATCGTTTAAAAAGTCATGCAGTTGAAGACAGTTTCTTAATTTGATTTGAAGTTTTGATTCAGCTCTTACCTGGCGAAACACGATACCAGTATCAGTACAGTATCTCTGGGTTTCTTCTCCACCCTGCAGCAGAACAACTGAATTCTGCTGGACATCCTTATTCTGTCTCAGGCGATCACACAGTCGTCTTCTATTCAAGGCAAAGAGCGCTACGGGCACTTTCAAGGTCTCATTCCCCAGCCAAAAGGAGGGTCTAAAAAAGATTTTTTTAATAGACAATTAATGGAAGACAAAGACAGTGGTTAGCACAATTCAGACGCACAGTGTTTGTTACTTTAGTCTAGAACAGAAAAGGAAGTTTAGTTCAACTCTACAAACAAAATGCTAATCAGTCAAGTGGAAGAGATGCTGTATATAAGCATCACTCTTGAGCAACAACCAAACATTGCTCATACGAGTGCCAAAGGAGAAAGATGGCAACAGGAGACAGGGCTGGCTGCAGCTATGGCCCACAGCATGTCACTTGTTAGATTCCTTTCGGAAAAGCAACATGAAAAGTAGATACAGAAAGCAACAACAGCCTGGGTTGGCTGAGTAAAGGCAAAACAGGAGAGAAGAAAATTAGTTCTAAGTTACTGAAAACAGAAGTGGAAGGTTACATTAAGTCTGGCAAACTTCAGTGAGTCCTGGGAAATGTTCGGTAGCTGAAACAGGGACTGGAGAGAAAAGATGACAGATAGCAGATGCAGGACAACAGCATTTCCCCTACTCACACAGTATCTGCGAATTTCTTTTCTGTGTACGTATGTTTATTCTTGAATGCATACAAGCGGCTTCAGCAAGTGACTGAACTCACACACGTGGCCGCAGGAGCATGTCCCGGGTATCTCCTGCTATACATCACCACCTGCCCCTAAGGCAGCACAAATGTGCTGAGACAGCCCGGAAAGTTTCTGAAAGATTGTACTCAACAGAGCCACAACTGGGAGAATACATAAAGTAGAGAGCGCTCTGAAAATAAACTGGTTATTAAGTAATTTAAGGTGTTTAAAGTACTACAAGAATATATTGCTGATTCATTCATATTTGTTATAGGTCCATACCTGCACTTTTTTGGAGCTTTACCAATAGAAGCACAGTAGCTTGTTGTAGGATTTTTTTTTTTAATCAGATGAGGAGAGAAGAATCTAAAAGCATTACCTTTTTTTTTTTTTTACATTTAATATAGCAAAGCTGTGCTTTGGAGCTTCAATATTACAGATGAATACTGTTTTATCAAAAAAAATCCTACGATTTAAGTCCAGTTTGTCCCTCCAACTCAGCTTCTCTCAGTTTATTGAAGACTGACTGGCTAGATGGTCATTTTCTATCAGATATGGTTCTAGAGGAGATGACAGAAAGGTGCAGTTAAATCGCTACTACGTTAAAATGACAAGAAATTAACCATTAAGGGACTTAACCTTTGAGAAGCAGAGCTCCACATATTAATTATTATATAGTTTTCATAGGCAATCTGAAAGGTAACCTTTGATTTATCGCTGCATAAAGTAACCTAGTGAAAGACTTTATCAGCATCAGAAATGTAAACCCTATAATTTTTTACAGCAGACACAGCATAAAAGAGCTAATAAAATATTTTATTTTACTTGTTTATAACTACTTGATATAACAGCGTAAGTAATTTTAGAAGGTGAAAGACTGCTCTTGCTCATCCAATTTTCAAACTATCTTCCTAGGAGTTCAGCTGATGGTGCAGAAAACCCAAATGTGTTTATTTTATTACTTCTCCCACACAGCGGATAACCCAGCACCATGGCAGGTGATCATTACAAGGGCTGTGGACTATCTGTTGCAACACATCAGCATAGCGTGGAAGCACAGCATAAGCTTTTGTTTTGGGGTACCCATGCCTGTAGGAAGAACGAAGCAAGTTCATACAATCCTAGCAAAAGCTACTGAAAGTTTTAAATCAGATAGTGAACCTTAAACTAAATATGGGCAAGGCTTTTTGGGTGCAAAGCTGTGGCTCAGCAACTCAGCAAGGCACAAGAGGCTGAAAACGCTTTTATCCAAGCAAGATCACCCCCTGGAGTAACTCCATGCAGGGGCCTGGAATCATATGCTCACCTTATTGCAAGTATAAAAGGGAAGAGAGAACATCATTACATACCCTTATGCCATAGGTTGCTCTCAGATCTTTGTATCTGCTGACAAAAAAAACAAAACCAAAAAAAGGCAGAGGTTGTAGCACAACCTGTCTTATGTTTTGCTTCACAGGAAGGAAAAAAGTCACCTTCGTTGTAATTTTACCCTCTTCACAAGTTTTTTTTTTTTGCTGTGATTTAAAAAAAAAAAAAAAAGACAAGACTCTGACCTCCCTCCTTCTCCAGGCCTATTCCTACGCCCTGGAGCTTGTAGGAAGCTGCTACAAAGGCATATTTTCATCTCCATGAAGTTTACTATTTATTTTATTGCACTTAAAACCTTTGACAACCAAGATGAGACTCAAGGAGAAATAATGATGTCAGGCAGCAATTCCTACTTGTAGTCTCACTAAGCCACTTCAAGAGTGTCTTTTACTGGGATCTTAACACTCAAGCTGAAATGCATTCTGGTGCAAAATAATGGTTCTTCTGCACATTTTATCTAAGCCCATAGCAAAACTGTGTTCTTCCTTATATATAACAAGTCGCACTTTCCTTGCTTGAATTTGATGCCACAATATTCATCAACAGCAGAATTTGGCCCTTTACAGTTGTTTTAGACTTGCAGAGTTTTTTCATAGGCCTTGGTCTCTATTTTAAGGCTTCTGTAACAGTCACAGCAGCTGAGCACACTGGACCCTGCAGCAAGGGCTGCAGGACACAGAAGGGCTGGGCTGAGTGTTGTTGCAAATATTGCTCTGTTCCTCAGGTTCTCTGTTGAGCCCTCATATGTTAATTCGTGCCTTAGACTGTACGAGCTTGCCAGGCAACAGACCTACTTTCACAACTGAAATTCTGCAGAGAAAACCAGCTAGGTTTCAGAGAGGACTCCACTTAGAGAAGTTTGCTTTCTCCACAGCCTTTGTTCTCTCTTCCCTCCTGCAAGCACTCAGATACCAAACCTACAGCACCTTCACGGATGGACTAACAACATGGCAAGACACCTGCAGGTGCTGCTCTTCCTGCCGAGGTTGGTTCACTCGGCACGCAAGAGCCCAGCACGAGCTTTCCACAACTTATGCGGAGAGCTCTTTTCAGAGACTAGCACTGATAGAGGAATTTACGTCTTACAAAAAAATGAGTATGGCTGTACAGTTGGCTTTCTATTGCAAATACTGATTTGGGAAGAGAACTCTCACAGTACTCCAGATCACAAGAAAAGTCTTCACACACAGGACTTGCTGTGTAACCATCGCTCTGTTGTGACCACTGCTCTGTTACTAAGAAATACATGGCAGTTAAGTAGGTTATGACTGGCCTGGTCTTTTTTCCATATTCCTTCCAGCCCAACTGTTACAAACCCCTGTGACTATGCAGTACTGTCTATGCCATGACTATTATTTAGCACTTTTTCAGTTTCAAATATAAGAAGTCATCGCTTGCAGTAAGTTGAGTGGGTACATGTATATAACTGCCTCACATGTGTATCAACCCTGCAATTACAGTGTAATAAGCATAAAACACTCTGTTATTTGCCACCTAACAGTACTACCACAAAGTTCTTTCTAGAGAGGGAATTACAAGCTTTCAATTTTGGTCCGTGATCTCTAATCACTCAGTTTATATCACACAAGACACATAAATACCAGAAATTAATTAGTACAATACATTGGCTGGTCCTTCAAGGTCTGTTTCTTCTATTATTGCAAGAACTCTAGCGTCTCCAGCCTCAAACTCAACTCAAAACTCTCATGTAGAGTTATACATTTGATAATGAAGCATATTTAATGCAAGCACTGCTTTGTGGTGCATGCCTCTTTGAAGCTATGCAAGCTTCTGCACATAAGCATTAGTCAGCGTCAGAAATGGCTACTTGCAGGACCGGGACAGGACAAGTGAAGCCCAGCTTCCTCATTTTCTCTAGTCTGGTACAAGAATTCAACCATTGCTCAGCCTGGTAAAGGCCTCCCGCAGTAGCTGACAGTTTCCCTACTACTCGTCACACACAATTTTATGATCACTTAGGCCCAAGCCCACACAAGAGCTCCTTTACTTTATTACACTGGAAGTTAAATGTAGCTAGGAACCTTAAACTACATCTGTTTCTTTAAAGGACTTTTTTTTTTTTGCCTGGAACTTTTGATTTTCCATGCTTATTTCAGAAGTTTTATAGTTTTGGAAAGCTTACATTTTGCTACTGTATGATCCATCTGACATTTTGGTTTTGATGCAATCACCAGAACACACTGGTAACCAAAAATCTTATTTTATTTCTGGTTTTCTGACCATTTTTCAGTTAACCTTTTGTACTTCTGGTTTTTTAGAAGAAAATTCACGGACTGCCATTTCTGTTCTACCGACATCACACAGACAGGATCCAGATTTCAATGACGATGAGAAACCACTGAAACTACTTTTCAAGAAGTTATCATTTGTTTGTTGACTGGGCCTTATTTATTTATTTGCTTTGAGCAACAGAGTCATCAACATCAGCTTGAAGTCTAGCCAATTTTTAATGCTGCTTCCACATCAAATACGTGAAGTGCAGGAGGCCTACGCTAACAGCAGCACAAGCAAATAAGCGATACAAGGGAAACAGTAAAAGCAGCTGGTGCTGTTTAAGGCATAAACTGGATGTCTTCTTCATGGCCAACTCAGTGCTCCTTGTAAATAAGTCAACAACTTGAAGTCCCAGCTCTGTTGGATGTCCTACCTACCTACCCCAGCACAGCCTTGCTACCAGCGGGGCTGGGCAGCAGCGTCCCTGCACAAGGAACGCCCGGTCAGCGCTGGGGGAAACCAGGGGCAGGAGAGGACCTCACAGGGGAGCAATCTCCACCCAAAGACAAAAGTCAGAGCCATGTCCCAGCATGACCTCTTTTTGGCGACTACGAAAAGTTTCCCCCTCATGCTGATACATTTTTAATGGCATTTTCTTAACGCACTGGAAGAAATGGCTGAATTTAGCTATAAAACGCAGGAGAGACCTTGTGCTAAGTAATCCACAGGCACCTTTAAGCATGATTTCCCAAACCTAATGCAACTTAAAGGATAACCCGCGGCTCGGGGGAGGCACTGCAGCGGTAACCGGAGAGCCCGCCGGGGTGCC